AAGGACTTGTGTCGCTAAAGTTTCGTCGGAACGAAGTTACGGAAAGTTAATTAACAAACGGAGACGTAACAATAACATACTTGTAGAGAGACAGACTTGTTTCATTAACTGTTGTCATTTTTATGATTGAAATGTTTTATAAACAATTGTTGAAACACATAACTAGAAATTATACATATATATTTATATTCCACAAATATAATACGATAATTTATAATATCATTTCACTGAATTTGAAACCAGTATTTGTTAACAAAGACAAAAGTAATGTTGGATCAAAATAAGAAACATTTCAGCTCACACAGCCGTTCATTATGATCAGTTAAAGACTGTAGTTTCTAATGAAATAAGTACACAACGTCAAAATTTGATTTGTTACGTATATTTGTAGGTGAGAAAATTGCTCTGGTGTAAATATTTTTCACGCACACCTGTCTCAACCAGACAGTTTAATGCAATTTTAATTTTAGATATTTCCAAACACTTTCGAGAGAAAAAAAAAAACACGGTTCATTGGCAAGTAATATTATTGAAATATATACTATAATCTGTCTAGCGGAACTAGTGAAAAATATGTATATAACTGAGTGGTTAATACAATATATGCATTATAATTCTAAGAGTTATTAACCTTCTTCTCTTGGTAGAGATTCGGGATTTAATAACCAGAACGTTTGGAAATAAGGTAATTTCCTTTCGCCTCTACCACCAGATGTCACTCGATATTAATACTGCCCACAACTACAAGTTACGTTACTATCGAAATTATTTTGTGGGGGCGAAAACTGAGGTAATTTTTATATTAATATTTCATCTTAGAATTTTTTGTAATAAAGAAAGCATAAATTTGGTATGGTTTATTAGATTAATATTAAAACTTACAAGTTAATTTGCTAGGACTAGGAGTACTACTCAGTAATACTAGTACAATTAGTATGATTACAAGTACGAGTCCTACTGTTTTTCGAGTAATAATTTAGTTTTACTAAATTTTAATTTTATAACATTTGGAATCTTAAAAAAATTTTAATGGTCAGACGACGAAGTTCGAAATATCTCTTAAATTTAACTAATAATATTATAACTTTTACTATTTTGTAGTTACTTTACTTTAGGACAAGATTATCTTTACAGTTTTAGTTTAAAATTAAAGTTTACCATTACCGAACTCTTAACTGTAGTATTTATATCATAAATAACGAATAAAACTGGAACTTGTATCAATCGTCAAGGGGGCACTTATTCTTGTTCCCTTTGTAGTATACAGTGGATCTTCCTTTTTGAACCCACACACTTGACATATGTCTCCTTGAGTGTCACTGTTATGTTCCAGGTGCTTTTATCCTCATTTGTGATTGCCTTTCCATTTCTGACACACTTTCTCACAAGGAGTGGCCTACTCTCGATCCTCACATTTTTGATGGCTCCACCTCCTTTGGGGTACTCCTCCCTGTGTAGTTTTGGAATCCATTCTTGATTCCAAGTTCCCTCTTTTGCTTTTGGTCTCTAGTTAATCATCTATTTGCCCTGGCTGTAAATACGTTCAGACATTAAGCAACCTTGTATATGCTGTTTGTTTCTTATGTCGCACAGCACTGGCTGTAAGCTGTTTAAAAGAAGCATAATCATTATCAGTAGCTAGAATTTTCTTATGCACTAAACTCAAAATTTATACTGTTTTCTTCTACAATTTTGTAAAGACCCATGACTTTAAAATGACACTGGTTTAACTAGTCAGCAAGTCATAATTAAATATTTCAAAAAGGGTTTTCATAAATAGTGTGAGAAATAAAACATAAACCAATTTAAATAATTCATTATTAACAACTTTGAATAAGTTATGAAACTAAAAGACATTGTTGAATATTTAGGCTCAGCAGTAAATATGTTATCAACCCTCCAGTATGTTATCAACCCTCCATAACATTCACAGTCACAACATATGGGCAACAAGGGACCACTTAGCCCTTCAAGGCTGTTGTGGAACATCCACCCTTAAGAAAAATAAAAAATTTAGACCCACACTTTATTTTAAAAGAAATATCAATTCTCTTTTTAAGCTCTTGTATGAGGTGCTGGCCTCCACTACCATTGTCACAAAACCATTCCATAAGCCAATCATTCTGGTATAAAAAACAACTCTTAACTGGAGCATAGCATTTCTTTTCCAAATATTAAATTTATGTCATCTTATTCTGTTATCCTCAGAATATAGCACAAAGAAATGAGAGATTATCCAAACAATCACTGGGTAATCTTTAATAAGATCACATTAATTAATTTTAATCTGAAAATTCCCCAGGGCTTTCCAGTATCCCTACTCCTCCTACTTTTATTGTCTGAAATAAAATTGTTCAAGGATATTTACTCCAGATTATACATGTAATCAGGCTTGAAAATACTGGTGTTCTGTTGGTGGTGGTGATCAGTGCTGCAACTTATGGTCCAAGAATACTAGATTCACGGTGGATATGCTTTATTAATTATATCTTATTCCAGTGAAGTTATCTGAGAGATTATTACTATTCAAGAACTGGTACAGAGTGTAAAACACTACTGCATAAATATTCTAAGAACTTAAGAGTGAAAGTACAGAAAATATTACAACAATATGTCAACCACACAGTATATGCTACATCAATTTCTGACAAAGCTCATCAGGCTGGCTGGGATATGGCAGGGGCAGTAGTAGCACACAAGGATTTGAATTTGTATTGCTTGCTTTCAAACATAAGGCAAACAATCAAAAGTATTTATTAAAAATGTATCTTAACATTAATTTGATTTGAAGTAAATGAAAAGCAATGCCATATGAACAGAACGTTTTTTCAAATTCTTGTCTTGATCAAACATGGACTGAAAATAAAGCATCCTGAAACTGATGAAATAAATACATAAATTCTGAAACAATACACACTTCTGCACACAATCAGCTATCTTCCCCATGTTTCTGCTTTAGAGATTTGCATGCCACTAGCTTTTAGACAACTCCCACCTAATCTCACAAGATTTCTTGTGAATTGCACTAATGCATAATGACATTATGTAGCAAAAGCTTCCACCAATAGGAGGGCAACACATCTCCTTGCACAGTAGCTCACTATATGCTTTTACCCTTGGGAATCTTCATTCTTTTCCTTGGCACTGAACACATTATACATTTAACAATTGTTGTGATGTTTAAGGAACTTAATTTCCTTCCTTTTTCTACAAACTGTGAATACACTAGTTTATGAGGCATCTACTATTTGGCATCAGACTTGTAGAGCTATTCTGTAATGATTAAGTCGAGTCGGGTCCTGTGGATGCCCAGCTGTCACAGTTTAAACTCCTGTGGTCACATTTTTCATCCACACAGGGGTTGCTTTTTACCTAAGAACTTTCTCTCCAGTTCTCTTCCTCTCCTCAGCCCTTATTGTGTTTCCTTTTCTTCTTCTGAACTCATCTATGTGCAAAGTCTCAAGGAGATGGTGTTCATTAACACTTCCAAAATTTTTCCTCCCACTCAATATCTTATTCATCTGGGAGTGTTTTACAACTTATTTCTCAGCCTCTTCCTATCTGCCTGCGAGCTATGGAACTACTAGTCACCAGTATTCGTGGTTATCATGGTAGCTGGACAGATCCATTATCACCATCAGTGTTCAATTACCTCCACCCAAACTAGACCTACACCTCTTCAATGATGCTTCCCCCCCCCCTCTGGTTGGAGAACATCTTTAAACAAAACTTTCACATGTGGCACATAGACCCAGGATGAGTCCTGTCTCCATGTCAGTGCATTTAAACTCCTGGTAGTCCATTGGGAATGTTCCACTTTCTTACCCTTCATAGTCTATTATTTTTTATGATATATTCTGAGAACTCCTTGGTTTTTCCTACATCAACCACCAAAGGAAAATTTGATCCAGGACTCCTTGCTTTCAAACCCTGGACCTTCCTTATTGGCCAATTCTCAACAGGTTTGTCTCTTTGCCTGCCATGTACAGGATGCTATGGATCTGGTTGCAGACCACCTCTCTCACAGAATGATCTTTTCACCCCCAGATTTTCTGTTTGGGGTGCTATCTCTTGGGGACTCCACTCATATATACCTTGCCACCCCTCTCATTTCCAAGCTTTTTCTCTTCTAATCACCTTGTCTCATCACTTTGCTCTGTATGTTGATGTCTTCAACCAGGACTAGTGTTATCCTTTTTATCATGCTTACCCCTGTCTATCTTTTACCTCAGGTCCTGGCCTTAATTCGAGACATACTTTGTGATGTCCTCTGACTGGTTCTACTTGGATTCCCTCTTTATACCAACTGATAACCAAACCACCTCTTTCTCTGCTAACTAAACTCTCTCTCATGCTTCAATCTCACATGTCATTGTTCCATCACAGAATCTTGTCCCTCCACCTTCACATTTGGGATTAGTCTGGTCTATTGCCTGTTGAACCAGACTTTCCAATCAGGAAACCTTTCCATTCCCATTCCTGTCATACATCTTCCTCATAACATTGCTGGTCCATCCATCACCATTTTTCTCCTTACTGTCTTAACGTCGCCCATCTCTCTTCCTTCTACAGTTTGACAGTGGATCATCTATCTCCACCATTACCAATTATCGGGCAGTCTTGTCTACAACATCTTGCCTTTCTCTATACAGCAAGGTATTTCCTCACTAGTTCTCTCCACTATGTTCAAGTCCTTCCTTATCCATAGACCCACTTGCCCTGTTCCCATGCCTGACTGGTACCTCAATGTCATCCTGCACGCTCTTACCCTTGCCCTTTTCGACCTGTTGACAACCTGCAACTTGTACCACCTTTCTCTTAAGACAGATTTCCTCTCACTTCTCTCCTGTGGTCACTATAGTTCAGATATCTATGCTATTGACTCTTTCCATACCATTTTCCATCATTCTTATATTCTTCCTTATCCAGACCAGTCCTTCCTCCCTAAGTCTTCAGCTGCTTGGGAAGGAGACTGCTCCTTTTTTCCTATCTCCCTTCCTTCTATTTCACACCTATATTATCAGTCAGATTCAGACTTTCGTGCCCCGTTCATGATGTGCATTGCTACTTGGCTCGTACCTCTCACTTTTGTGGCTCCTGTCTTTGACTCTACATTCCATAGGATTCGTATTTCTCCAGGGACATATCTCCTTCTATCCTTACAAGTAGGGTCCATCAATTTTTACGTTTGGTCTACTCCTCATTGGTGGTTGATGCTTGCAGATAATTTCACATTTCATCTTATCAGATATTATATTATTTCCCTGTCAATTTTCCCATCTTCATTAAAAGGCATAAGATGACAAAAACAAGATCTTGAAGAATCTATCTATCTATATATATATAAAAGAGGAAGTTTGTTTATTTGTTTATTTTGTTCGCTATAGGAAACCAAACGGTTGAACTTACAAATATTAAAATAACTTCATAATAACCAGTTTTTACAAGAAATTTAAAGGTGCTATTTATTTTGTATTTGATGTAGAGTTTAATGACGAAATTGACAATTAATTATTATTGCTGCATTTTTTTGTAATAAACATACAAACATTAGCATGTTTTGCACATAGAAAGCGTTATGGCGGGAGACGCTCAGATCACCTTGCTGTCAATTTAGTATTTCCAAAAAACAGTTTTCTTCAAATAGTGCTAAGTGGTTTCATAAGTGATTTATTAACTTTGTGAATTGCAAATTATTGTTTAGTGATAGAGGTGATTATGGCACCCAAGAAACGCCCTTTCTATGGAAAGTCTTCTGCCGCTAAAAGAATGCAAGCACAAAGAGCAGCTGAAACAGAAGAAGAATCCAATCAAAGACTTCAAGTATAAGCTGCAAGACAGGCTGCTCAAATACAGAAAGAGAATTTGGAACAATGTAAAGTTAGACTTCGAGCTCAAGCTGAAAGGCAGGCTACTCAAAGACAGCAAGAAACTGTTGAACAGCACAAAGCCAGAGTTTAGTCAGAATCACCAAGGCAAGCTGGATATAGACAGCAAGAAACTTCTGAACAACATTAAACCAGACTTCAAGCACAAAAATTAAGACAAATAACTTACAGAGAGCAAGAAACAAAGAAGCAACATGATGTATGACTTCAGGCTCAAAGAACAAGACAAGCTCAAAAATGATTTAATTTCAAATAAAGCTTTTTTGATTAAATGCTTTTTTATTTCTTGCATCACAGCTTTTGTCTACTTACTGAATAATTTTCTGAAAAAAAATACTGATCTATACTTTTCAAATCTAAATTTTCACCGTGCAATGCCAGGTAACTCAGACAGTATATATTGAGTAAACATATACACTTTTTTATAACTACTTTTCCTTTTTTTAGCCCAATTTGTATGTTTTTATGAAGTATATAAAGCCATAACATTATTAACTTCTTCCTTTTCTTTTTCCTCAGGTTATCAAAAAAGGAAAAAGAAATGAAGACTCAGAGGTTTAGAAATAATAGAGGAGGAAATCTGAATTTTGGTGGAAGAAATGTAACTGATGCTAGACAAATTATTAAAGCTAGGCGTGGACAAGAACTACCAGTTTCAGCAAGGAAAAATGGGTTTCTTGGTAGGGGTCAAACTTTCAACCTCAAAAGAAAAGTAAGTTTGTTCTATATGAAATGCTTAGCTTTCAATATTAGCTTGTAGATGTGTGGTAATATTCATAGGAATATATTGATCCTGTCTTTGTATAAGATTAACATTGTTAGATAGATATTTGTAGGCAGGTCCTATGAAGTGTGTATCATAATGAACTACTATTTAGAGTGACAGGTGTTTTGTTATTAAAGAAATGAGTGAAAATAATAAAATGTATAGAATAGTAATTTTAGACTTTTTTTTTTTTACTAACATTGGTAGGAAGAAAACTAATTCTCTAATGTGTACAAGTAGCCCATAGTTACTAGATTCTCCATTTTTAATCAGTTGAGGACTTAAGCAATTCAATTTTTTTTTTTCCAAATTATGGTAAGAGCTGTATTGTCTGGCATCTGCTGGACTTGGCAGTGAATTTCAGTTACAAAAGTGTTTCCCTTATGATATTTTACAGGAAATATTTTGACATTTTGTTAACATTCTAAATTACTGTATTTCTACAGCATTTGTAAAAATATCTGTTTTAAACAGAAATAAATGTTGTAATACACTTAAATCTGCATAAAAACATTGATTTCTTGCTATAATTAGAAGCCATAACTTTAGGATTTAGAAAATATTTACAGATTAAGCAAGCACAACATGAATCACAGCACAGACTGTTAGCAACTGAAGCTAGCCCAGCAGTAAAAAAAGTAAACACTAAGTGGCAGTCGTATTCTTTTGTGAAGCTTTGAGAGTATTCCAGAACATTTTGAATGGAATTGTAATGAATTCCAGTTCCTACAATGATCATTTTTATTTGGAGATATTGAATTTTCTGGTTACAAGAGTTTTTTGGATTGAAAAATGCCGGATAACAAAGCTTTTACTCTACATTCCCTTGAGATAGAAACCACTTAATTATCTGCACATATTATTTCTTACAACCACCATTGATGTTTATTTTTGTATTAAAGTAGTTAAGTTCCTTTATTTATTACTTTAAAGGCATACTGTTTGTCTGAATTTCTGTTTTACTTTTGACTACAAGATTCACAGTTTAATAGCAAAATTTAGTCAGCTATTTTCATGACTTATGCCAGTTAAGTTATTAGACCAAGCAAAATACATGAACATGCTCAAACTTCTTACTGTCTATCAGGTATGTTCCCATTTCTTCTGTTTTCTCATGGATTGGTTGATCATGATCCACTCTGACAGTTATATGGTCATTTCTTATATCAGTGTCAAGGATGTAATCATTCCAGGACTCTTTGCTTCCACCCATTGGACATGCTGTTTTGTGCTTGTTTCCATCAGGTACATCTCATGGCTTGTCATATGCTGATTGCCTCTTTTTGCCATACAGGATTCTACTCATGGAGTTGTCTCTCTACTGTCAGGTTTTTTTGTTGGGTTTGCTCTTAGCCAAGCACACCTTTCATTGATGCCTTTGCTACTCCTCTCAACACCAAAATTCCCCTCTTATGGTACCCATTCCTTCATTTTTCAGCTCTGATGGTCAATGCTCTCAGCCAGGACTGGTCTCATCATTTTCTATATGCCTACCCTCTTCTTTGTCTTCTTCCTCATGTCCTCATTTTGGTATGCAGCATTCCTTGTTGAGTCCTGTCCTGTTGGTGGCATCTCTTTTGCAGGCACAACACTGGTTTCCTCTGCTTTGTCAATGGGAATCCAGGCACCCTCTTTCTCTGCTCCATTCCTACCCTCTCTTGCATCATCCACACACATCTCTCTCTTTCACTCAGGTGTGTCATCCCTTCATCTTCATCTGTGGTAATTGTCTGATCCATTGCACACCGAACTGGTCTCTCCAACTGTGCACCCTTCCTCTCATACCTAAATTTCACCCATCTATCAATAGAAATGACTGATTCTTCACCATTGGTCCATCTGCCACTCCATTCCTCCGGGCTGTCCTACTGTGGCCTACCTTTCAGCTTTTTTTAAATGTTTGTTCAACCATGGATTGTTGGTTTTCACCATTGGTGGTTATTAAGCAGCTTTATCAACTACCTTTCACCTTTTCTATTGCCTCAATATTTTTTCTTTCCGCTGTTCTTTCCATTTTGTTCAGATCCTTCCTTCTTCACCAACTCCCTTGCCTGACTGGGACCTTAATGTGTTTTTTTTTTTACATGTTCTTACACGTGCACCGTTTGAGCCATTGGCTTTGTTTTCCTTATATCATCTTTCTCTGAAAACATATTACCTTCTCTTACTTGTCTATGGTCATTGTCATTAGGATGTATTTCCCACTAATGCTTTCTGATTTCTCTTTCACTACTTCTCACCCTCGACCCGAAGGTGTTTATTCTTTCTCTCTGATTCCATTCACTTCAATTTCTCATCTCTGTGTTTTTTCAGACCCAGATAATCTTCAGTGTCTGGTTCGGGTTGTTTAGTGTTACTTGGCACATATGTCTCCATTTCGGGGTTCCCACCAACATTTGTCTTTTCCTTGGGTCCATTCTTTATCCAGAGACCTAACCATATTACACTTCTGGTACACTTTCTTCTTGCCTGGTCTAAGAATTTATTAGAGGAAGCTACTGTGTAAGGAAGTTGTGTTACCCTCCTGTTGATGGAGGGTTATTGTTGTATGATATGATGCATTAGTGCAGTTTACATTAAACATGTTTTTTAGATGGGAGGTAGCTCAAAGCTAGTGGCATGCAAATCTCATAAGCAGGTAAGGAAAATGTTAACTTTAAGGACATCTAGTCTGTCCCATCCACTAAACTAAACTAAACTTTAAAATAAAAATAAAACACTCGAGGCCAGCCCTTATCATTCAAATATTTACAAAGTCTTCTTATATTATTTGCATCCACCATATATGAAGGCAACCCATTCCAGAGGCCAACCACCCTGTTAGAAAATAAAGCTGTCTTAGCTGAAGCTAATTTCTATCCTACTGAAATTTATGTCCTACCATTCTTCATTAAGTATGAAAAAAGATAATATATTAACACTGTCAGTTCCCTTAATTAATTCAAAAACACAAATCGGATTTCCTCCAACTCTTGGAGATCTTAACCTGTCCTAATAGCATTCCTCTGAAGCCTTTCCAACAGTTCAGTGTCCTTTTTAGGCAAGGTACCCAAGACTGAACAGTACTTGAAGTATGGCCTAACCAATGACCGATACAATGAAGAATTATCACTGAGAAAAAATTTAAATGATATTTACTGCTGATGGATATAAACTTAATATAATTCAGTTCCTTTATTTATATTGAGAGTTTCCACCTGCAGTTTGAAATCTTTTTATGAAATTCACTGTATCTATCACTGTCTTTAACCTCTCCACACCTGTTTTATGTTGTTCAAGCTACACTAGAGTTTTCTAGAACATGCTATACTATTTATAACAATATTCATGAGAAAGCTCATGCATTGTGATAAAAGTATAAAATCTGATAAGTTATACTGTTTATAAAATTATTTTTAAATTTTACTATTTATATTGTAAGCATCCTATTTTATTTTCGAGATCTATTTCAAGTAAGAATTTTAGGTGGGGTGGAAAGTCTCTAGCTCTTAAGAGCAGGTGTCCATGTATGAAGATACATAAGAAAGCAAATACATACAAGTTTATTTTTACTTATATCTAGAACTAAGTGAAATTTTATAAGTACAAATGTTAGTATGAAGGAATTGTTTACATTGTTGTTGTTTTACTTTTCAATTGTTGTTCTTTGGAAAGCAAGTTTTAGTCTTTAATGTGTTTTAAAAGTTAATGTATGAGAAAATGAAACATGTTTACTCTGGCAAAAACATTATCAATATTATGCAAAGAAATAGGAAGTATGAACCACAGAAAACAATGTGTGTGTATTATAAAACAACTTAAGAATCATAAACATTTTCAGTTAATTGCAAAAAATGTGATTTGTTGATGTTGAGCATAAATAATTATATTCTTGTTAGTGAATACTGTGCACAAAAAAATTTAAAACTTGCATTTTTTAAAAATATCTTAGTCTATGATATATGGTGATACCAGAATTTCTTTGGCTATAGGTTAAAAATGAGATATTGATTGGAAATAGAAAAAATCAAGTTTGGGTAAGTTTAAAATTTTAATCTCGCTTATTTATAACTTATTGATAAATGTATGATGTTGAATGAATTATGAAATGAATCTCAAATAATAAAATTAAATAATTAAAATAATAAATCATAATTTTATCGGCAATTAATTCACTAAAGAAAATAAACTCTAATGTCAGTATTGCTGTTAAATGGTATTTACTGTATTTCCAGGATGACCATGTGCTTGGAACAGCAAGGGAGTTTAAAAAGGGGAAATAAAAAGTTGGAGAAATTTAAAAATTGTACTATAAACAAATGTCTAGGGATATTTGTTCCCTCACTCTTTTTTTATTATCAAAATCTGTGCATTTCACAACTATGCTGCTTAGCTATTTTGGTTAGTGGTATATGTTAGCATAATATTTTTCACTTAGTTTTTAGTAAAGCCATTAAAAGCAGTTAGATGCCAGAAAATTAAATGTTATCCAATTAATGACTAGCTAGTTAGTGTTATTTCAGTGGTTGAGAAGCTTAGTTTATAGGTAGATAGATTCCACAGTAGCAGTTAGACAAGTTTAACATTACAGACAGTCCAAATGTATTTAGAAAGGTTATGTTTTACAAACTTGTTAACTTTCTTTGAAAATGTTATCTTGACATGAGTAATGCATTAGAGTTGGTGCACGTGTACTTACACTTTCAGAAAGCTTTTAGTATGGTACCAATAAGAGATTTCTGGAAGGTTTGCATATGATGAACCAGGAGATAAGCTAATTAAATGAATCAAAAATTGTTTGAATGGTAGAAAACATAATTTTTTAATAATAAGTCAATGGGTTGTTACAAGGATCTGTACTAGGTCCTTTGCTGTTTCTTGTTTCATTAATGACTTTGATAATGGAATAACTAGTAAAGTAGTCACACTTGCAGAAATTAAATTAATAGGTACTTAAAATGTACTAAAGATTTTGAAATTTTGAAGAGAGATTTATACTGTTGATGAGCTCAGAAAAATAGTTATGCACATTGGTTCTCACAAGCTTAATAGTTTTTATAGACTTACATGGGAAACTAGGTGAAACTATATACTGGATAGAATATATATCACAAAGTGTTAGTATAAATGCTCAGTTTTGTTTTCTAAATGGCAAAATAATAGGAATAAACTATCTTAAAGGATAATCTATTAAATGATCTTTTAAAATCTGTGGCAGAGTTAGAAGAGCTTAGACTGTTAAACTTTATCTCATTAGTTTTATTACATTTCATGCAAAGATACACAAAGGACCATCTGCATATAGTTATTCCTAATTTTGAACTGGTACACTGGAAGCAAGACAACAGCACCCACTGCCAATACTGAGACAACTCTCTCCTGCTGAATAATGGGATTTGACTGCCACTCTTGTAGTCTACCCACAACCCTAAAGTGTAGAGAATGTTTTTGTCACATGCTAACCGTTAGGCCACAGCCAGCCCACTGCTAAAAAGAGATATTGTTAATATATGTGGTGATAATTTACTTTCACATTTCTTCAAATAGCACACATTTTTTTGCAATAAATTTTAATGTAAGATTGGGGAAGTTTAATAATCCTGTTACAATAACAGGATTTAAAACAGCTACTCAAAACACAGCATCTGCTAAAAGTAACTTATATTAAACTGCAATAGAAAATAAAATTAATACAGAAAAGAAAAAATGGAATTGAAATTTACCTCATATGATGTAGACTGATACAATAAAAAATAAATATACACAAAAGAATATTTCCAAAATTTTGAAATACCAGGTGTGAATTCATGTTAACTTGGTGAAACCATTGGAAACAAATCTCATAGCTAAGTTATTTTTCAGTGTAACTTGAAACATTGTAATATTTGTATCAAGCTGTTATAGTGAACCAAAGAGGAAGCTATTGGTCTTTTGTAAAACTGTGTTATGAAAATTCTGGAAATTGTTGAAATGTTTTTTTTTTTTTTCACGTCAACTCAGCTACATGTAACTTCTTGTAAAGATTTAACTAACAATAAATATGGGGAGAACTTAGTTTAGTCAACTATTTTCTTTATTTACCCAATAAAGCTATTTAGTGCATGAATGTACATTTTCAACAACTTGATCATTCTTTTACAGATGACAAATAAATAACATTTCAATAAAATTAAAAAATCTGAAGAAAAAAGTTTTTTTGTATATAATAATTATAAGGTTCTCTGTGCAACAACAGAACTGATTTTCTAATTGTTTTAGAATAAGGGAAAGGTGGTTCAGCTTTCAGGAGGAATGATTACTGTTACATCTCCATCTCTTGGAAAACAGGTTAGTATGCTACATTATATTTTTACACACTCAAGAATTACATATTATAACTTGTATTATTGATACTCTAACTCAAACATTAAAAATATTTATTGAGATATTTATATCTATTAGAGTAGCTTCTTCTAATGTAGTACAGTGTTATTGATCAAAATAATTATTTATTAGTTATCATTAAAACTGAAACATTAGTGTTGTAGTATACTTAATTCAAGTGAAATGAATTTCCCGATAAAGTATCTTTCTCATCTCACAAGATTAGCTTTTCTGGTTTTTTGCTGCCCTCTGTATGCAAACTTTTTCAGAAACACATGCCACAAGCCTTCATCATCCCTCTGTTAGAATCCAAAGTTCCAACACGTCTCTCATGCAAATCATCATGAGTCACTTCTCCACCAGTAGGAGAGCACTATTATCACCTGATGCATATGAATCCTTTTACTAACGACTACCGAACTATCACTTCTCATTTGGCAGCTATCGAGTTCATACATTGTTCAGTTACTTTAAAGTTTTTTTGCATTTTATATATACATTTTTAACTTTAGTTACTATACTTCACAGTTGTGGAGCATTACTTCCACATTTTTGCAACTTTTTTTTTGCTTATGCATTTCGAAGTTACAGTTAGCACTTAGGATACTTTGCCAACATCTGATGCCGTACTTCAGCCATGGGTGCGGGCAACTCTTTCGAGAGATATATATCATTGCCTACTTCTGCCTCACTTCCTCCTGAGCCTTTCAAGCCTGGCCAGGCTGACAATGATTAGGATCGTTTGTTCCTCCTCCCTCCTGAAGTTTGCCATGCCTTCCTGTTTGCTACATGATGATTCAGCTTGTCCATCAGCAGTCTTTTCTGACTTTATCTCTCAAGTATGTGGTGTTTTGTCTCTTACACCTGTTTCCTATGACTCTAGACATTCCCTCTTACATAAAACAACCTCCCAACCCTATTTAGTCTTTTCCCCATCCTCTGATAATAAGGTTCACTGGACCAATTTGCCTCTCAATTGGAGGAGGGCATTAGTATGCTTTGTACCCCACAGACTTCGGATCAGTCTGCCCTAGCTTATCATTGGGCGGACTATCCCTTTCTCAACCAGCAGTTGTTGGGGTCAGTTCTACCTGTTTGGAGGTGAACCCAGATTACCCTGTCAAACTTACCCAAGCCCATTTTTCTTCTCTTCATCTCACCCTCATAACCCTGTTAAGGTACCTTTCCTCCCTTCACCTACTCTCAGAGGTTCTTCACAGGAACCCTGAGTGTTTTTCTGTTGAAATCCTTTCCATCCTTACTTCTACATTAGCTCATCTGTCATCTTTCATGGTTTGTTTGTTGTTGGGATCTGTTGGCTCTTTATCTGAAGGACCTCTACATGGTGCTGTTTTTGAGGCGTTATATGTTTGACTCAGTTCCTGAGTTTTTGGAGTCGTGGGTGGCCTCGGCTCATCAACATTCTACCCTTACTAAATTGGTAGCTCCTTTGTCACAGTCGGGGTTGGGTGCAGCACCAGTTCCTGTCCCCCAACCTTCCCCTTCCCAACCTCTTCCTGTCCTACCTTCCTGCAGTGCCACAGTTGACAATTTACTTGATGATGCACGAACCACAAACAACAGTACTGGTGACTATGAATTTCGTTCATCGATGGGGGCCTTTTCTTGCCAATATCTGGGCTCACAGCATGCTCTATGAGGGATACATTATCCCCTTTCTCTCCCTTCTTCAGTGTTTCCGTTACCTTCCCTTCTCCAGTGTTCCCATTACCTTCTCTTCTCCAGTGTTTCAGTTACCTTCTCTTCTCCAGTGTTCCTGTTACCTTCTCTTCTCCAGTGTTCCCGTTACCTTCCCTTCTCCTTGGAATCCCTTGACATGCAAGCATCTGTAAGAGGTGGTTCAAGACTTCATCACACAACAGGTTATTGAATTAGCTCTACCAGGTTTAAGGGGGTTTTACTCCTACCTGTTTGTGGTTCCCAAGAAGACCAGGGACTGGCAACCTGTCATCCATTTATCCTGTCTCAATCAGTATGTTCACATTCCTTGCTTTACCATGGAGACATACCTTTCTCTTTGGTGAACATTTTATCCAGGTCTTTGGATGACCAAGGTGAACATTTCCAATGATTACCTAAACATTCCTGTGGCAGAGCTTTTGCATCTGTATCTTTGGTTTATCCACGAGGGGGTTGTATACCAGTTTTGCACCTTACCTTTCAGCCTAGCCCCAGCACTATACATGTTTTGCCATGTGGTCTGCTCCTTTGCCTGGCATATTGATAACATGGGGTTGCACTTCCATGCTTATATGGACTACTGTCTTCTTCTTACTCATTCCAAAAGGGAGTCGGCCTGTCACACTTGTCAGTTCCTGGTCGATTCTGCGTGGGTGGGCTTGTTGGTCAAATTGGAGAAGTCTTTCCTTTGTCCTACCAATACCTTATTGGTTTGGCTGTTTTCTTCACACCCATCTCAGTGGGGCCCAACCTTTTCTCCTCCAGCTGCATTCTGGGGAACAGGCCTTTTGGAAAGACCTGTTTGTTCCCTTACTTACAGCTCGCAAGGTTCTATCGCTTTTGGGGGTGTGGTCCTTCATGACTCCTCTCATATCCCTGGCAGGGTCCAATCCATATGCAGTTTCATCAATGGGTTCTTCACGATCAGTGGAAATCACCCGGAATCCCTTGGATACTTCTATATCCTTTCCCTCATCCCTTGTAGATGATCTCCATTGGTGGTTGAACAGGGCCCACACGTCAGTAGGAGTCCCGCTTCCTCCTCTGCGGCAAGATTTACATCTGTTCACAGATACATCAACCTCCTGGCTGTTTGTTGGGCTTTGGATCATTTTCTATCTCTTGGTTATGAGCCATTCTGACAGTTCTACCTTGGTGGCTTATATTAATCACCAAGGTCGCACCAGGTCCAGATCCCTGTGATTTCACACTAGGGATTTTATTTATTAGGCCCACACACATCTAATTTGTTTGATTTGTCATGTACCGGGTGTTTTCAATCTCGTAGGCGATCTTCTTTTCTGGCCAGATTGCATTTATCCCACTGTGTGGTACCTGAATCCTGCCATTTTTGGTGGCTCTGTCTGCATCCAGGTATGCTTTATATCAATGCCTTTACCACCTCCTTCAATCACAAAATACTTGGGTTTTGTTCGCTGGTTCCCCATCCTCGAGTCTTGGCTGTCGATGCCTTCAGCCAGGATTGATCTCATCTGTTCCTTTATGTTTACCCTCCCATCCATTTACTTCATCAAGTGGTCTCTCTCATCCATGCCACTCCATGCAAGGTCCTTCTAATTGTTCCTTACCATCCCACTCAACCTTGGTTCCCTCAGTTGCTTCAACTGCAAGTGGTCCTTCCTCTTCCTTTCTGTCCCGACCTGTTCCATCAACTCCTGTCACTGGTGCTCCATCCCACACTGTCAGTCCACCATCTTCACATCTGGCTTTTATCAGGTCCTTGGCAAGGAGTTCTGGTTTCTCTCACAGAGTATCTCCACATTTAACCCATTCCATTCACCCTTCTTCTTTGGTTGTCTGTCAATGCAAGTGGAGTGTTTGTCACTCTTGGGCATTGAGGTGGGGTTTCTGGACTTCTCACCCAATGGTTACCTGTGTCTCTGAGTTTCTTGCATGGCTCTCTGAGAGGGGTTCTTTGGTCTCTTTGATTTCAGGGTTTCGGGTGGTGTTATCCCATACCTTCCATTTTTCCCGTTTCTGCAGGTTCTTTGCTTTCTCTATCCTTTTCATCTTGATCCATTCCTTCCAGCTCCATCAGCCACCAAGGCATCCATCTCTCCCAGATATTATCATGGTCCTTCATGCCCTCATTTTACCTTTGTTTGAACCACTGTTGATGTGTTCCCTGTTTCACCTCTTTTTGAGGGCATATTTCCTCCTCCTGCTGGCCTACAAGCATCATAGATCAGATATTTTGGCCCTTGACTTTGTACAACTCCTCCTACCTTATCCTTTATCCAGATTGTGCTTTCCTTCATGAGACCTCTGTGGGTCAAGAAGGTCAGTCCTCCTTTTCCCCTATCTGCCTATACTCTATGTCTCAACTCTACCCTCATCCTGATCCAAAAACTCTTCTGTCCTGTCCATGCCCTCTGTTGTCATATTGCTCACACAGCTTCCTTCCAGGGTTCTTATTCCCGCCTTTTTATCCCTTGGCAACTTTCCTCTTCCTGTGACCTATCCCCTGTGTGCCTTGACGAATTAAGTTTGACATTTGATCCAGTTGGCCTATTCCTCATTGTCTCTTTCACATTTCCTCACATCAAATCCATCACCTTTCCTTCTCCCTTGCCTCTCGTCTTCATTGGCCATTGGAGGAGATTCAACGATCGGGCATGTGGACAACTCCGCAGATGTTCATCTACCACCACCTACACCACATCAATGTTTCTGCTCCCTCAGGGTACCGCCTTTGGCTATTATACAGACTTTGGCATAGCTGTGACATGAGGTAAGTTCTTACTAATGTTTTCTTTTAAGGACCCTTGCTACAGCTTCACTGTTGATCCTGCTCTGTGGCAAGTGGTACCTGACCAGGTATTCTGTTTGTACTCAGAATGGGTTCCACATAGCTGGCTATAACCATTCGCAGACATCTTGCTATCATATCTGCATTGTAAGCCATGTTGATTCTTATACGTTTTCTATGACTGTGTACACTCACCCTTGAAATGGGGTGTTTCATAAGATCACTAGAGTGTAAATTCCTGATGATACTTGCTTCATAATATGCCCATCCCAGATCGTAACACCCATGGACTGCATGAGTAGAGCAGAAGGGGATTGCTGCCCATCTCTGCCATGTCTAGATTGAATAAATTGATGTGGTTTGCTTTTAAAAATAAGGTTTCATGATCATCCATTGCATTGACTTGGGTGTTGCAGTCCCTTCAAACTCTGCACTGCACTTTTTTCCACCTTTCTTCCAGTGGAGTATGGGAGTCCTTACCACTTACCAGTTCCAAGCTGCTGGGGTGGTTGACCATGAAGGCAACCTGCTGGATGGGTTCCACAAAGATGGCTATAACCATTCAGTTCAGAGTAGGGCAGTGTTGTTCTGCTGGTGTGGAGGGAGTTACAAGATCCTCCAGATGAGTAACTAATTCCCGGAGTTGAGACGCTCAAATGCAGTTCACCACTCCAATTGGGTGCCCTCCTCCTACCCTCACGTGGATATTGGTACCCAGCAAGTGAGGTTTGAGAGATTGAATGAACCAAACACATAAGTCCTCACACAGGTTTTGGATTGTCCATCTTCCCCTCT